CGCAGGCCGATGCTCTACCACTGAGCCAAACCGGTTTCGGCGAGCAACTGAAGGTTTTAATCACAGGTGTAAGTAGAAATGTTACTAATACTTGAGTCATAGAAGGCTGGAGCCAAGTCAGAGCTGGAGTAAGTGGCATCATTTTATTGATCGGTTCTACAAAGAAAGAGGAAAACCCCTGATCGCAGGGGCTGGAACAATCACTTGACCTTTTGTTCAATCCATCTGGCATTGCTCTGGGGTTAAGTTAGCTTTTCCCTTAAACCACTGACAGTGCTTCTCTCTCGTCATTGATGGTACTGTCTCTCTCCCTCTCCCCTCCTCTCCGAAATCAATAAAAGTATATATTTTTTAAATAAAATAGAACACTGACAGGTCGTCTTCATTCATCCACTACACGGAGGCCTCATCTTTGAGCCAGGTGGCTTTGGCTACTAGTGTCAGGGTTCAGTAATGTCAATCAAATGCAAGGTGAAGGTTTTTTTTTATGAACCCGAAACTAACAAAGCAACTGTTTTTTGTGTTGTTGGGTTTTTTGTTGTTGTTGTTTGTTTGTCAAAAAGGACATTTTTAAGGACAACAGACATTTGCATATGGTCTATGTATTAGCTGATATTGAGGAATTAATGTTATTTTTATTAATGTGGTAATGACATTGCAGTGGAAATAGTCCACGTATTTTGGTCCATCTGAAGTAGGTGTGAATGACGAAAGTCTGGAATTTGCCACCAGGGAAATGCTCACAGAAAAAGCAGATTGGACCAAATTTGGGGGATTGTGGAATCAAAGTGATGGGTATCAGTGGGGCTCAGTATTCTGTCCTCTTCATTGACAGTGATTGGGAATATTCATGTTGACTTCTTAAGTGTTTGATCTGCCCTCCTGAGCCCACAGTTGAGCTGTATCTGCAAAACACTGTGCTTATCTGGTCAGAGCCACCAAGTCAGAGGCATCTGTTGGAAAGTACGCTGCCACCAGCCCAGAGCCAGGGAAGCCAAATACCATCTTAAAGCTGTGATTTTGCCATTTGCCTTCAGCTTATCCAGAGCTATTGATTCTGGGGTGAGGACCAAGATGTTGATCTACATAGAGTTGATTTCACCAGCCCCAGAGAATGGAGAGATGGCCTTTTTTAGAATTATTTTTAATGTGTTTTTATTGATTTTCTTTTATTTAAAAAAAAAAAAAAAAGCTTTATTGTTGAAAGTATTACGTATGTTTCCTTTTTTCTCCCTTGACCCTTTATAGCCCACCCATGCCCCCCGCCCCAGCCCTTCATCCTATTGTTTGTGTCCCTGGGTTGTGTATCCTATCTAATAAAAGAGTAATATGCAAATGTACCATCACTCCAACACACAAAATGGCTGCCCCATGTGGACACAAGATGGCCAGCAGGAGCAGGCAGTTGGGAGGGACCAGGCCTGCAAGGGAGGGCAGTTGGGGGTGATCAAGCCTGCAGTCGAGGGCACTTAGGAGTGACCAAGCTGGCAGAGGAGGGAAGTTGGTGGCAATCAGGCTACAGGGAAGGGCATTTGGGGGGACCCAGGCCTGCAGGGGAGGGCAGTTAGGGGTAAACAGGCTGGCAGGAGAGCAGACTGGCAGGGGAGTGGGTAGGGGGTGATCGGGCTGGCAGGCTCAGCAGTTCTATGAGTTAGATCATGTGATACTTAGCTTTCTCTGACTGGCTTATTTTGCTTAGCATAATACTCTCCAGGTCCCTCCATGGTGTAAATGTACTACAGCTTTTTTATCCACTCATCTACTCATAGGCACTTGGGCTGCTTCCACATCTTAGCTATTGTAAATTTCACTGCTATGAACATGGGGTGCATACTTTCTTTCTGATTGGTGTTTTGAGTTTTTTAGGATATATTCCTAGAAGTGGGATCACTGGGTCAAATGGCAGTTCCATACTTAATTTTTTTAGGAAACTCCATACTGTTTTTTATAGTAGCTGCACCAGTCTGCACTCCCACCAGCAGTGTACTAGGGTTCCCTTTTCTCCACAGCTTTGCCAGTATTTGTCATTTGTTTTTTGGTGTGGTTTTTTTTTTTTTTTTAATATATTTTATTGATTTTTGTACAGAGTGGAAGGGAGAGAGAGAGTTAGAAACATCGATGAGAGAGAGTCATTGATCAGCTGCCTCTTGCACAGCCCCTACTGGGGATATGCCCGCAACCAAGGTACATTCCCTTGACCGGAATCGAACCCGGGACCCTTCAGTCCCCAAGCCGACGCTCTATCCATTGAGCCAAACCAGTTTCAGCAGTATTTGTCATTTGTTGATGGTAACCATTCTGACGGGTGTTTTAATTTGTCATTTTAATTTGCATCTCTCTAATGATCAATGACTTTGAGGATTTTTTATATGTCTCTTAGCAATCTGTATGTTCACTTTGGAGAAGTGTCTATTTAGGTCCTTTGCCCATTTTTTAAATTGCATTGTTTGTCTTCCTTTGGTTAAGTTGTATTACTTTCTTTTATAATTTGTATATTAACCTTTGTCAGCTGTATCATTGGAAAATATGTTCTCCCAGACAGTGGGCTCCCTATTTATTTTGTTGATAGTTTCTTTTTTGCTGTGCAGAAAATTTTTATTTTGATGTAGTCCCATTTGTTTATTTTCTCCTTAATTTATTTTACCCTAAGAAATTTATCCATAAACACATTGCTACTTTTAAGTTATATATTTTATGTTTATTCTAGTGTATGTTATAAGTTAGTGGTCTAGTTTCATAATTTTGCATGTATCAGTCCAATTTTCCCAACGCCATTTACTGAAGAGACTGTCTTGACTCCATTGTATACTCTTGATTCCTTTGTCAAATATTAATTGAGTGTAATGGTTTGGGTCGACTTCTGGGGTCTCTGTTCTGTTTCATTGATCCATTTGCCTGTTCTTGCTCTGGTAGCAGGCTGTTTTGATTATAGTGGCTTAGTAATATTACTTAATATCTGGTACTGTGATTCCTTCAACTTTGTTCTTTCTTAAGATTGCTATAGCTATTTCGGGATTTTTTTGGTTCCATAAAAGTTTTTGGAGTATTTATTTTAGATCTGTGAAATATGCCATTGGTAATTTAATAGGGATTGCATTGAATCTATAGATTGCTTTGGGTGGTATGGACATTTTAATGATGTTAATTCTATCAATCCATAAACATGGTATAATCTTCCATTTCTTCATATCTTCCTCTATCTTTCAAGTGTCCTGTAGTTTTCAGAGTACAAGTCTTTTTGGTTGCTATAGTAAATAGGATTGTTTTCTTTCTCTCTCTGAGAATTCATTATTGATGTATAAAAATGCCATTGATTTCTGATTGTTAACTTTGTATTCTGCTACATTGCCAAAATCATTTATTAAATCTAGTTTTTTTTTGTTGTTTGTTTTTTGGTGGAGTCTTTAGAGTTTTCTATGTATTTATGTCATCTACAAATAATAAGGTTTTTAATTTCTCCTGTCTAATTTGGATGCCATTTATGTTTTCTTCTTGTCTGATCACTTTGTCTAGCACTTCTAGTGTTATGCTGAATAAGAGTGGTGAAAGGGGGATACCCACATCTGCCTGCATTCTGATTGTATTCAGTCTTGATTAGCCTCTGGCTATAAACTATCAGGGGTCCTCAAACTTTTTAAAGTGGGGGCCAGATCACGGTCCCTCAGAGAGCTGGAGGGCCGGACTATATGAGCTACTAATTCCTACTGTAACACCTCGGCTGCGCTCACTGCCCAAAAAACCTGGCGGGCCGGATCAGACTCCTCTGCGGGCCGCATGTGGCCCGCGGGCCGTACTTTGAAGACGCCTGAACTATACTGTGGGGTGAGAGGTTTTCCATCAGGGTAGGGAAGTTACTTCTGCTGCAGGTTGATTGCTATTCTTAGTCTCTTAATGGGTCTTGGAAACTCCACCGAAGGGGTAAGGGGTTTTCCGATAGGGTGGGGCAACTGCCTTTCCCCAGGCAAAAACCACCTGGGTCCCAAAGGTTCAAAGGAGAAAGATGTCTTCTGCAGCGTGAGGGGATGACTCAGCACAGGAAACCAGGGTATCTGCCTTCTGAGGTCTTACCCTAGAGCCCCCAACCCTGGCTTCTGCTCACACAACTCCAGTCCACTCTGCCAAGGTGAGTGGCTGCCCCCCAAATTTTGTGCATTGACCCTTTGTGAGTGTGCTAGCATTTCTAGTCATCTCTTGCTGGCAGACAGCAGTCCTGCTGCTTTTCCTAGCCGGATGTTATGTGAGCACTTTTCTCAGTTCTAGTGCTCTGTGAAAGGGCCAGCTTGGGCTTTAGGCCCCAGAGTTCTCAGTGGGAATCCCCCACAGCTATGATAACCCTCTAGAACTTCAGCTGCTGTCTATGGGAGCCCAGCCAGCCCTGCTTTTGGGCCTCTGCACTTCCTGTCAATCTCTGTGTGGTCTCAGCTTTCTTTATTTATTTTTTAATGTATTTTTATTGATTTCAGAGAGGAAGGGAGAGGGGGAGAGAGAGAGTCAGAAACATCAATGATAAGATAGAATCGTTGATCGGCTTCCTCCTGCATGCCCCACACTAGGGATCGAGCCTACAACCGAGGAATGTGCCCTTGACCGGAATCAAACCTAACACCCTTCAGGCCGCAGGCCAATGCTCCATCTACTGAGTCAAACCAGCAAGGGCCGGTCTCTATTTTCTGTCCTTGGTTATCAGGGTTCTCTCCAGATTTTCTGTGTTTTTGTTGTAATTCCAGTTTGGTCCTGGGAATGTGTCAGTGTAGCTTCCACTTATGTCACTACCGATTTTGGAGTCCACTGTTTTTATTGATTTTATAGAGGAAAAAAGAGAGAGAAAAGAAACCCATCGCTGTAACAGAGGAACACTGATTGTTTGCCTCCCATCTGCACCCTGACTGGGAATGGAATCCAAAACTTTTTGGTGCAGGGGAGGACACTCAACTAACAGAGCCACCTGGCCAAGGAGAGTTGGCCTTCTTTGAAACAAAACCTTTCCCTTTGTTTTGTAGGACCACCATGAGGCCTCAGACCTTCTATGATGGGAGTCACTCCTGTGCCAGAGGAGTATGCCATATCCCCATGGCCGAGCCTTTCTGCCCAAAAACGAGAGAGGTTTGTAATCTGTCTGGAAAGTATGCCAAAGTAAATTGTAAGGGCTTGGGTGGGCATGTAGAGTTAACCATCCAGACATCCTTCCTGACAAAGCTGGGCCCAGGTGAAGCCACCTGGCCTCCAGCACCAGCAGCTGCGGCCTGGGAGAGGGGAAAAAAGCCACCTGCCCTGTGGTCCGAGGTGCCAGTGCCAACAGCTGCAGCCCGGGAGAGGGAGAAAAGTCGCCTGCCCCTGGCAGCCGGCCAGAGGGAGGGAAACCTGGGTCCCAGGTGCAGGGCCAAGGCAAAGGTGGTTAAGGTGATCAGGCCAGCAGGGGAGCAGGCAGGCAGGCAGAGGGGTTAGGGGCGATCAGGCAGGCTAGTGGTTAGGAGCCAGCAGTCAGGATTGTGAGGGGCAATCTGGACATCCCCTGAGGGGGTCCCAGCTTGGAGAGGGTGCAGGCTGGGCTGAGGGAACACCCTGTTCTTCCTCCCCACTTGTACCCCCTGTTCAAAATTCACCTGGGCCTCTAGTTGGCTAATAAGCACATGGTCCCTCTTCCTCTCAAGTTTATGTTCTGTGCGAGGTTTTGTGAAAGTTGTTTACTTTTGCTAATAATGCTTTCACTACTGTCTGTCATTTGTAAGCTGAATCACTCAGAGTAGCAACCTACTTTTTTTTTTTTTTTTAAATAAGTTTTGATTTTGCTGTCAGAATATTTTTTAAATTTGGTGTAAACTACATATTAGTTAAGAGTCTATAGTCTGGAACCAGTTTACTTGGGAGTCAGTCTCTGTTCTTTAGCATAATAGCTGCATGTCATTGGAAAAGTTACTTAGCACCTCTGAGCCTCAGTTTCCTCATTTGTAAAATGAAGGTAATGATTACATATACCTTGTGGAACTGTGAGGAATAAAAGAGTTAATACCTAGAAACATACCCTATCAACCAAACAGCAGAATGACAAGTCAACCAGTCACTGTGACACTCACTGACCACCAGGGGGAAGATGCTTAATGCAGGAGCTCAACCCCTCCACCCCCCCGTGATCAGTGCACTCCACAGTGGAAGCACTGCTCGGCTGACCTGTCCCCACAGGACATGCCCCCCACCAGTGCACGAATCCCGTGCATAGGGCCTCTAGTATTAGAATGCAAGAGTCCAATGATTGGTAGCTGCATTTATGAGTTAAATTATTATTATTGCTGTTCTATACATTGTCAGGTTTTGTCATTTATGTTTGAGCTGAGTTTGACCATTACTCCCCAGTCTTCTCTCTGAGATCAGAGTAAAATCTCAGAACAAAGTGGGCAGCCTCACAGAAGTCGCCATTAGGCCTTAGCCCTCGGAGGATAAAAATGGCTATCACAATTCAAAAGTCCGTCTCTTGCTCCACGCATGGTATTTTTCATATATAATCCAGGTTTGGAAGTCAGGTGCAACACAACAGATTAGAAGCATTGTCAGTGATGTACTAGCTTGTGAGATCAACTTTTAAATTGATATACAGACTATGAATACCTACCCGTGTTAGTCTTTCGGCTAATTTTAATACCTGCATATGGAAAAGCAGAGTGGTCGTAGCAGAGAGGAAGGGAGAGATTATCATAGCTTCTATATTGTAAAACCAGTTTCTGTGAAGTCATCAGCAACAGCATCTTACCCTCAGCCCACCCTAAAAGGACCCACAAACAACAGAATCTAAAATTCATGATTAAGGGTTGTGGGGAGCCATTTAAGGTGAACCCTCGTGCATTCGCTCTGAGTTCTGTGAAAATACATGTTTTACTTGTTTAAAAAAGTGGCAAGTTCAGTGTGTACCTATGATGTATTTAGGTGTATATATTTCTGGGTAGTTAAGAGCAGAGTATATCAGAATGTTGCCAGTCTTCCCTCTGAAACATGGATCTGCCCACACAATAGATTTGCTCTCTGGCAGTAACTAGATGTGTATAAAATTCTTGACAGTTTCAAAATGGGGGCGGTTTGGGAAGGAATATGGTAGACCTAGGGAAACAGTGTAGGAGATTGAAGGTCTTTCCCCAGGCAGAAAATAGTAGTGTCAGGGGAAGACGTGGGCGGCAGAAGGGCTAGTGATGCATACAGAGCACATGTAAATGTGGTGGCGGGTGAAATTTGCCAGTAATAGAATGTAAAGAGATGAATATGAGAATATTTATGTGCAAATAGAGTGTATCCCTTGGAAAGGTGAACTGTGCACACGGGGGCATGGATGGAAGAATGATATCATTTTGTTCTATTAATATCATTTAGTTCTCTGCAAATTTTACCTATTCCAAAATCGGTATCACTTCTAGTCATTTTAGGAGGTGATTTGATATACTCTCTGAGAGTATTGACTCATGAAATGTATTTTGGCTGGTGATCTGATATTGCTAATATTTACAGACAACGATGATTAATTCAGGAGTTCTGATATGATAACCTGAAACATGGAAAAGAGAGCGGCTTAGCCTCAGAGACCCAGAAATCTCTCAGCTTGTCTTTTGTGTTTCTAACACCTTAAGGTGGTGGTGCAAAGGGGTGGCTCAAGCAGAGGCCGAATCCAAGAGCTGCTGCTTCCTCCACCTCCCAGGGTAATGGCGAACACCTGTTGCCTCAGCTGTTGGTAGCTATGATCTTCCTTCACTGATCTCTAGAAGCACTCTAAGTTGGCTGAGACCGACAGCTCGGTTATTTGGTGTGTGTGTGTGTGTGTATGTGTATATATATATATATATATATATATATATATATATATATGTATGTATGTATGTATTTCAGAGAGGAAGGAAGAGGGAGAGAGAGAAACATGAATGATGAGAGAGAATCATTGATTGGCTGCCTCCTGCACACCCCCTACTCGGGATCAAGCCTGCAACCCAAGCATATGCCCTTGGCCAGAATTGAACCCGGGACCTTTCAGTCCCCAGGCTGATGTTCTATCCACTGGGCCAAACTGGCTAGGGCATTTTTTAAATTTTATTTTAAAAGACATTTGATGAAGACAGGACAGTGCTTGTTATATAATTTTTTTAAATCCTCACGCAAGGATGTGTTTTTATTTATTAGAGAGGGAAAGGGGGAAGGAGGGGGGGAGGAGAGATAGATAGATAGAGAGAGAGAGAGAGAGAGAGAGAGAGAGAGAGAGAGAGACAGACATTGATTAGTTGCCTCCCATACGTGAGAGAGAGAGAGAGAGAGAGAGAGAGAGAGACATTGATTAGTTGCCTCCCATACGTGCCTGGACTGGGGATTGAACCCACAACCTTTTTCATGTTTGGGCTGACACTCCAGCCAACTGAGCCACCTGGCCAAAGCTGGTTATATATTAATTTTGAAAAAAAGAAGGGAGGCATGATTTAGGTCCTTGCATTTATAACCTTTACTCTTTTTTTTTTTTATGCTCAATTTTAATTTATAAAAAATAAGCTAAGGATATACAATAGAGAAAGAATAGTTTCTTCAATACATATTTGAAAAATTAGGCAGCCACATGCAAAAGAATGAAATTGGACCCAAAACTCAAATGTGTTAAATACTTAAACTTAAGGCCTGAAATCCTAAAACTTTTAGAAGAAAACAGGGAAAAAGCTTCTTGAATTGGCAATAATTTATTTTGGATTTGATATCAAAAGCAAGGCAATGAAAATAAAAATAAACAGTTGGGACGACATCAGATTAAAAAGCTTTAGCACAGCAAAGGTAACCAACAAAATGAAAAGGCAACCTGTAGAATGGAGAAAATATTTTTAAATTGTATATTTGATAAGGTGCTAACAGCCAAAATATATAAAGAATTCATACAACTCAATAATAAGAAATACAAACTATATCATTAAAAAATGGGCAGAGGAACTAAGATTTTTTTTTCTCAAAGGAAGACATATTCAGCCAGCAGGTGAAAAGGTGCTCAACATCATAATCATCAGAGAAATACAAATGAAAACCACAGTGAGTGTACTCACATCTGTCATAATTTCCATCATCAAAAAGACAAGAGATAAACATTGGTGAGGATGTGGTGAAAGGAAAACCTTTTACCTTGTTGATGGGATTTTATATTGGTACATACAGTATATAAAACAGATTAGAGCCTCCTCAAAAAAAATAAAATAACTACTGTATAATCCTGTAATCTCTCTTCTAGTTATATATTCAAAGGAAGTGAGAACAGAAATTTGAGGAAATATCTGCTCTCCCGTGTTCATAACAGCATTATTCACAATAGCCATTACTACATAGAAACAACTTAAGTGTCTGTCAGTACATGAGTGGATAAATTGTGGTATATATATACATTAATGGAATATTATTCAGTCATCAGAAGGAAGGACATGGGACTTGAGGAAATTATGCTCAATAAAAATGAGTCAGATAGAGAAAGGCAGACACTATATCGTATCAAGAATATGGAATCCCAACAGAAAAGTAAGGTCAAACTCATAGAAACAAAGAGAAGTAAACTGGTTGTCAAGTGCTAGGATATAGGGGAAATAAAGATTGGTAAAATGGTTTAAACTTTTAGCTATAAGATGAAAACGGTCTGAGTATTTAATGGAATTAAAAATTTTTTTTCCAATTAGAAGAAATATTTTAATATTGCTTTTTGCCCTTTCTCTATAACAGAAGTATCAGAGATTAAAGACAATTAGTAAAATATATGTGAAAATAATATGTAAATTTCTTTTTATTTTATTTTATTTTAAATAAATCTTTATTGTTCATATTATTACAAATGTTCCTAATTTTTTCCCCTCTCCATTGCTTTCCTCCACCAGGTTCCCACCCCACCCTCTGCCCTTTCCCCACCCCGCATTGTCCTCATCCATAGGTGCACAGTTTTTGTTCAGGCTCTTCCCGCACCCCCCACTCCCGTTTTCCCCGAGAATAGTCAGTCCACTCCCCTTCCATACCTCTGATTCTATTATATTCACCAGTTAATATTGTTCATCAGGTTTTTTAATTCCCTTGGCTTTTAGTTTCACTTGTTGATAGTTACGTATTTGTTTTTTTGTTTTGTTTTGTTTTTTTAAATATATTTTATTGATTTTTTTACAGAGAGGAAGGGAGAGAGATAGAGAGCTAGAAACGTTGATGAGAGAGAAACATCGACCAGCTGCCTCTTGCACACCCCCTACAGGGGATGTGCCCACAACCAATGTACGTTCCCTTGACCGGAATCAAACCCGGGACCTTTCAGTCCTTTTAGTCCACAGACCGATGCTCTACCACTGAGCCAAACCGGCTTCAGCTAGTTACATATTTGTTGATCATAATTGTTATCTATATCTTCTTCCTCTTCCTAAAGAACCCCTTTCAGCAATTCATATAATTCTGGTTTGGCGATGATGAACTCCTTTAGCTTTTTTTTATTTGTGAAGCTCTTTATCTGAAATCCGGTGCCGCCTTTTCGTGCGCACAGTTCTCTGCACCTTCACAGTTCCTGAGGTTCAGCGTGCCTTCCCAGATGGTAGAGCCTCCTCTCAGCCAGCCATCCGGCGCTTCAGGGCAATATTTCCCCTGTTTTTCAGTTCTAAATTCAAATTTGTTATGGTAGGCTGCATTCGGGTGTCTACCCTATGCCGCCATCTTGGTTTCTCCTATAACCTTTACTCTTTAGGGAAAAGGTTTGGTTACACATAGTCTTATTTTTAGCATGTGTAGAATAAATAAACATGAGGTAGCATCAACTATTCATTGTCTGTGGCTTGTCATGGTTCTAAACTTGGAATTACCAAAACTCTTATTAAAATTTCTTCTCCCATTATCATAGCATAAGTTGTTTATTAATGAAATAGATTACTTTACTTATGTGGTTCAGACATGAGCAGGCAAGATTTTCCCTAGATTGAAGCCTTGTTTGACCGTGAGTCACTGTATTATACACACACACACACACATACACACACACACACACACTAGAGGCCTAGTGCACGAATTCGTGCATGGGTGGGATCAGGCCAGGCCAACCCAGGGGAGGGGCTGCAGGTGGTTGGCGAGTCAGCCCTGCCCCCTGGTGGAACTCCTGGTCGAGGGGACAGTTTGCATATTAGCTTTTTATTATACAGGATGGTATCTCAGGAACCTTTGCCAGTTATTTGGTGAACCTATAGAAGTTGCCAGTACAATAAATCTCACTTAAACTTGTCCATGAGGTTCTTGGAAACTGACTTTATGCAAAATGATATATAACAAAACCAATTTTACCTTAGGCTGAGATAGACAAGAGTTAAGTTCTTGAGACATATTTCTAGTGACAGAAACATCACCAAACTTCCTATCTGATAAAGAGATGATATGCTAATTGATGCTCATGCCATCATAAAGATGGCGGTGCCACAGCCAATAAGGAGAAAATATGGTAATTGACTGCCATGTCCTTAAAGATGGTGGCACCTACAGTCACAAGATGGTGGCGCTCAGTCCTCTCAGCCCCACCAGGGTGGCAGGCCCGTGACTACTCCATGCTCCTGCCTCCAGAGTCCCTCAGCCCCCAGCCACCCAAGGCTGCCTGAGGCGCAGGTAACCAGGGCCGGCCGAGGCTTGTGCTGCCGGCAGTGGCAGCAGCAGAGGTGAGTTGGGGGCGTCGCCTTCCCCTGATCGCCGGGTTGCCTCCCACCCCTGAGGGCTCCCGGACTGTGAGGGTGGGCAGGCCGAACTGAGGGACCCACACTCCAGTGCATGGATTTTCATGTACCAAGCCTCTAGTCTAAATATAAAGATCCCAAAACCCTTCTAATACTAAACATTGAAATAAATGTGAGCTACACATACATTTAAGGAAGGTGAATAAAAACAAGTAAGATAGTTATTTTCCAACCAGTTTATTCTCAATCAGGATCATAGGTGGCCGAAGCTTATCTGGGCAGCGCAGGGCACCCGTTGGGGCCCACCCTGGACTGGATGCCCCTTTACTGCAGGGAGCACTCCCAAGCTCTCCCTCACACTGGGACGATGTAGATATAACCTTACCTCACACCCTTGGGGTATAGGAGGAAACCTGAGTCCCTGGAGAAAAACCATGCAGAGACGGGGAGAGCAAACACACTCCTCTTCAGTGTTATAATGAAACGACGTTGTTCAAGGACCTGCTGTGCTTCTACCCGAAAGGAGACCAGCTTGGCATTTATATATTTACAATGCCCCTGACACAGTTCTGTGCTGTGTTCTATCCTTAGCTCACTTAATCCTCACACCGTCTCTTGAGTTATATACAGTATTATCAGACCATTTTACAGGTGAGAAAACCATGACAAAGGTTAAGTAAATTTTCAACAGTCCTTAATTTTCAACAGTCCTTAATTAACAGTTAAGTTTAAAAAGACTTCTTTATTACTATTATTGTTGTTGTTATTATTATTATTATTATTATTAAAAAGGAATGTGGAAACACAGGCTAAGGTAAGTCTTATCTGGACAGAAAATAACCAGCATGGGCCCATTCTGTGTTTACTGTGTGTGTCCCTGGAGAGGTAACAGGCAGAAGAGATTATGGAGTCATTACTTTCTAAACCCCCCCCCCCCCTAAAAAAAAAGAAAATAAATAAAATAAAAGCTTTTACAGAAGTCTTCAGACTTTTCACAAAAGAACAGTGAGAATGAATTTCTCAGGAGCTTGGAAACAGTTGCCTGCACATCTCTCTGAGGAGAGGTGATTAAAACGTGTACACACATTCCTGGTGCTGAGGAAAAGCTCGCTGTTCTCCCTGGTAGCTGTGAGCAGTGTGTGCATGGGCCAGGGACACAGGACATGTGAGTGAATGAGGGTCTGCAGCTACTAAAGATCTTTAACGAATCAACGTTTTACATTTCAGGGGGAAATGAAACACTAAGCTGGACTTAGGCTTGCATGTTTAGCGTTTGTGGTTCCTTCTCTTCTAGGTGCTGATCGAGACTGCTAAGAAGCTAGGACTCCGGTACCACTCAAAAGGGACCATGCTCACGATCGAAGGGCCGCGCTTCAGTTCACGGGCAGAAAGCATCCTGTTTCGCACCTGGGGGGCAGATGTTATCAACATGACCACAGTTCCAGAGGTGGTTCTTGCTAAGGAGGCTGGACTCTGCTATGCAAGTATCGCCATGGCAACAGATTACGATTCCTGGAAGGAGCACGAGGAAGTGGTAGGTGGAATTCTCTCCAGAGCACGTATTGGCCTGGCTTGCCAGGTGCCATGAGCCCCAGTAAGAAAGGATCTTAACTGTGTTTCTATTGCATTCATTCCAGAAAGCACCTTTCTGCCAGGTTTTCGAGTCAGTGTTTAATACATTGTCATTAGTATTACTGCCAGATATTTTCTATTGTTGTCTTTGGAAAGTAAGGACCAAGATCTTCATAGCAAAGAAAAAACACACTTTTATCTAAGGATTAGCAGTGACCAAGTACATGGTAGGCATGCTGGGAATTATACTGAGATTTGGACCTTATTATTATTTTTGAAAATATATTTTATTGATTTTTGTATATAAAGGAAGGGAAAGGGATAGAGAGTTAGAAACATCGATGAGAGAGAAACATCAATCAGCTGCCTCCTGCACACCCCCTACTAGGGATATGCCCGCAACCAAGGTACATACCCTTGACTGGAATTGAACCTGGGACCCTTGAGTACACAGGCCAACATTCTATCCACCGAGCCAAACCGGTTTCGGCATGGGCCTTGTTTGAAGGATAAAGGTCTTGGTTATAATTTCCTTGTGCTGTGCTACTGTCTGTGCTTTCCCCCCCCCCCCCCCCCCCCCCCCAAAGTAAGTACTGTTGCTTAATATCTTTCTGGTAAGTGAGCTCTATTCATAGCTATCTGTTTACCCTACCAAGACTGGACACCATGTTTGGTCTGGGAGTAGGACAGCAAACAAAAATGGTTGGTAAGGAGCCAGCATTGTGTTTTTCACAAGGGGGCGTGGTTAGAGATTAAGCAAACGAATGAAAGAAAGTTCAGGTGAGATACAGACGGTTGAATCTGGTTGATTCAGCCAAATATTTGCAGTCGGGGAAGCTTCCTTACTTAATGGGAAAGGCGGACTGTGCTTGAGTGGAGAGGAGAGGAGGGAGCAAGAAGGAAGCAGGGCCATGGAGACTGTTTCAGATGGGAAGTCAGCGAGGGGCTTTAGGTAATAAAAATGGCCTGGTCCAGCCGGACTGTTGAGGTCAGGCTTCCAGGACAAATACTTCCATTGTGGAAAACTTTGAACATCTTCGAAAGTAGAGAGTCTAGTATAATAAACCCCAGTGACCTGTCCCCCAGCCTTCCAGGTATCGGCCATGGCCCACTTTGAGTCATACATCTGCCCCTACCCACTTCTCTCTCCCCTGCCTTCATAAGTAAATGGTTTTTATAACGGCCTTTTAGAATATATCCTATATAATAAAGAGGTAATATGGAAATTGACCATCACTCCAACACAAGATGGCCACCCCCATGTGGACAAAAGATGGCCAGCAGGGGAGGGCAGTTGTGGGCAATCAGGTTTGCAGGGGAGGGCAGTTAGGGGTGACCAGGCTAGCAGGGGAGGGCAGTTGGGAGTGACCAGGCTGGCAGGGGAGGGCAGTTAGGGGCAATCGTGCCGATAGAGGAGCAGTTAGGCATCAATTAGACAGGCAAGAGATTAGGAGCCAACAGTCCTGGATTGTGAGAGGGATGTCTGACTGCCCATGTAGGCCTGATCCTCGAGGGGTCCCAGATTAGAGAGGGTGCAGGCTGGGCTGAGGGACACCCTCCCCGGAAGCGCCCCCCCTACCCTGTGCATGAATTTTGTGCACTGGGCCTCTAGTGTATATGTATGTACGTATGTATATAGTACATGGTGAAGTGATATTTATTTGTGTGTGTGTGTATTGATTTTAGAGAGAGGAAGGGGGAGGGATAGAGAGATAGAAACATTGATGAGAGAGAAACATTGATTGGTTGCCTCTTGCATGTCCCCCCCACTTCAGGAATCAAACCCATAACCTAGGCATGAACCCTGTCCAGGAATTGAACTAGTGACCTCTTGGTTCATGGGTTGACACTCAACCACTAAGCCATACTAGCCTGGCTGAAGGCTTCTTTTATAAATAAAATAGTAAAAAAAAAAAAAAAAAAAAAAAAAAAACCCAAAAAAAACAACAACACAGAAACATTATTGTACAAAAATATTGTTATTAATTTCTTAATATACTCAAATATTTAGATGGGAGAGACAGAAACATCAACGAGAGGGAATCATCGATCAGCTGCCTTCTTGCCTGCACCCCACTAGGGATCATGCCTGCAACCCGGGCACGTGCTCTGACCGGGAATTGAACCGTGACCTCCTGGTTCATGGGTTATTGCAAACCCTGTGAGCCACAGTGACCAAGCCAGTCAAGTAATTTTGAAATAAGAAAAAAGTATAGCACTAGCCAGTTTCGCTCAGTGGATAGAGCATCGGCCTGCAGGCTGAAGGGACCCAGGTTCGATTACTGTCAAGGGCATGTGCCTTGGTTGCGGGCACATCCCAGTAGGAGCAGAAGGCAGTTGATTGATGTTTCTCTCTCATCTATGTTTCTAGCTCTCTATTCCTCTCCCTCTTTGTAAAAAAATCAATAAAATATATTAAAAGAAAAGGGAAGGGGGGAGTGTAGGGGTGGCTGCTCTGAGCACATTTAGGACGGGTGACATCTTCTGCAGGGGGACCCTTCCCCCCACCTCAGCGCTGCTTGTTTCACCACCCCGCTGCATGTAACACAGGGATATTCTTGCTGTCTGCTCACTTACATGGATTTTCGGCCATAGGTGAACACAGGCTCTGTGTTTTGCACAGTGTCTTATCCTGACCCTTCTGTGTAATTAACTACAAGGATGCTCCTTTTTTTTAAATTTTTAAATTTTTTAATATTATTAATTTTTAATTATTATTATTTTTTTAAAATATATTTTATTGATTTTTCACAGAGAGGAAGAGAGGGGGATAGAGAGTTAGAAACATCGATGAGAGAATCATCGATCAGCTGCCTCTTGCACACCCCCGCAGCCAAGGGGATGTGCCCGCAGCCAAGGTACATGCCCTTGCCCGGAATCGAACCAGGGACCTTTCGGTCCACAGGCCGACGCTCTATCCATTGAGCCAAACCGGTCCCGGCAAATTTTTTTTATTTTTTATTAAGGTATTATATGTGTACATACCTTACCAATCCCCACCCCACCCCCAATCCCATACATGCCCTCCCTCCCCAGAGTTTTTTGTCCATTAGTTATGCTTATATGCATGCATACAAGTCCTTCAGTTGATCTCTTATCTCCCCCATTTCTCCCTCCCCTCCCTGCTGTAATTTGACAGTTTGTTTCTTTTACTGTTTCTGTATCTATCCTTTTGTTCATCAGTTTATCATGTTTCTTATTATCCATAAATGTGTGAGATCAGGTGGTGTTCTTTCATTGACTGGCTTATTTCACTCAGCATGATGTTCTCCAATTCCATCCAGGTCGCTGCAAATGATAAGAATTCCTTCTTTTTTTTGTGGCAGCATAGTATTCCATTGTGTAGATGTACCATAGTTTTTTGAACGAGAATGCTCTTTAATGTTAAGAGACTCATACATCCTGCTGGGGCACCATCCCTAGCTCGGCAGCTTTGCTCTTCGAAGGGAACCGCTGGGCCTCGCGGTGTTAGGAAGCTGCTCCCAGTGAATAGAAGGCTTCAGTGTCTGCCACTCCTGAGGATGCATTGTTGCCTGCCTGTGGTTCTCTGCTTGATCTAGGAACGGATCTGTCTGCAGCGCTAACGGTGCTTTCCTTCGGTCAACCCTGTGAGGTGTGGGAAGCAGTTGGTTGGAACTACTTCAGTTAAAAGTAATGAAACTAGGTTTCTGTGAGTGGTAAGCCATGAAGGCAAGCAACGTTAAGTGCCACCGGAAGATAGGACATAGACAGCGTCATCTCAGCCAGCCAGCCGTGTCTGTTGTGCTTCAAACCAGGTGTACAGCCTGGCATGATCAAACGGCTTTAGGGTTGCCAAGTCATTTTCATAAATTTCTGTTCCTCTAATTACTTGTGATCCCTGGCCCGTTATTCAACAAGTTACTCTTCTGTGGGATGGAGGCAGGACTTCGGGGTGCGGGCCGTGAGTGGTTCAGTTACGCGTCTGATCTGGCTAGGTTACTGGGAGAATTAAGCCACATGGAGTGTGTTAGAGCAACTATTAGTTTAATGCTGGCTCCCAGGAGGTTGGTCACCAGATAGTAGCAGCGATGGGGGTGGGGGTAGAAAGACTACAACAAGTTTGTGAAGGAAACTTGAGAATTGAGCTGGTCCTTCCACAGAGGGTTAGATTTGAACGTGAGAAGGTTAATAGGGAGGTATTTTGGGTGGAGCCCAACAGCAGGAACCAAGAGAACAGAAGTCAGTCTATCTGAAAATACCAGTCACAGGAAGTGTAAGGACATAAGTAAGTGTGAGGGAAACTTCTTGCATGCTTTCTGACCCTCCATTTCAAGGATCCACGTGAATTGTGCCCGTACGCGAGCTTGATGGGCGCCCAGCTGGTCACCGCTCCAGTGTTCCTACGTAATGGGACTCCCTCTGCCGCCGGACTGATGGTCTTGTCTAACCACATCCTGGTGTTTGTGGGAGGGGTCTGGACTTCATACTCCAGGAAACCAAGTGGAAGCTGAAATCGCTGGGCCCTGAAATTTGGATTTCTTCTGAGAAGAGTGAAGTGTGACAAGTGCTCTTCCTCTAACAGGCCAGGGTATAGTCACAGCTTTTTCCACTCTTTCCATAAGAAGCAGTTTTAGTGACAGACAAAAGCAGACACTCCTATGGGTTTCTGTGAATCCAACGTCCACCATTATCATATAAACTGCTAGCCACTCGTATTTCATCTGTCCGCGGATCCATGGCTCTGTCCATCAACATGTTAGGAGATACCTAACGTAGCCACCTTGTCCTGGTCACATTCCAACCAGAATGCCTTACCTTTCCCAGGCAGAGTTCGCGTTTCCAGCTATCTCAGCTATCTCAGATGATTTCCTCTTCCAAGTTTTCTAAAAAGAAACCAAGTGATTTGACATGTACTTTTCCACAGTCTGAATTGTTGAAATCATCTCCTGGGTAGTTTAACCAGATTCTCTGTCCTCTGTGTTTTATGTAAATTGGTAGCTGGATCTAGACTTAATCAAATTCAGGTATTCTACGTAGGGTTTAGTTTTCCATCAGAAGAGTAGGTTGTTTATTTGGTTTGGGTTTTATGTGAGAAAGAGAGAGAGAGAGGGGTTAGCAGTGCATCCATTAATTCATTGGGAGCTATTAAAATAATGATACTCTGATTTCATCATTTTTCTTTATTAGCTGCAAGACTTCTCTCAAGAGAAATGTTTCTTTTCGGACCGGTTGGTTATCCAGTGTAGCAACGGTTTTGTGACTGGGATCCATTCTGTGTCCTGAGAAGAACAGCCACAGCTTTCTAGAGCTGCTAACACATTACACCTCTGTAGAGAGTTTCTTAGAATTCATGTTGCAAACGGTACTTCTCAGAGGTGTTTGTTTTCTCTAAGACCTCCCCCGTGGTCTTGATAAATGCAAAATTTGGGCGGGGACACCGTGGGGTTGAAACCAGAATCAACTGACTTCACAGATCAGGACGGAACTTAGGGAGATGTTCCACAAAAAGCAGTGTGATTTTTTTTTTTAATTGATGGAAACATCCTATGCTATTGTTTCTCTAGGTTTCGGTGGACCGGGTTTTAAAGACCCTGAAAGAAAATGCCAATAAAGCCAAAAGTCTGCTCCTCACGACCATTCCTCAGATAGGTTCCATGGAATGGTCAGAAACCCTCAATAGCCTGAAGGTAAGTATCCCGAGCCATCTGCATGCAGACACCACGTTCACATCCTCAGCTGCCTTTCCTCTTATGCCCATCTCCCTCTTGGGGCACCCCCTCCTGTGTTTTATACTAGTCTCGCTGTTTCTGCAAGTTCTCCTTCCATTTCCTTCCATAGTAACCATTTGTGATCCTGGGCAGCTAGAGCTGCCTGGTAATGCGAGACCATTGGAAGTGGGGGTGGGGAGAGTTTGACCATCTACTGAGCCAGATTCCTGGCACGTTTCCACCCTGCTGCATTTCTCTGAAGTCCCACTTCAGAAGATGGATAGTGCTTGCTCTGCACGTGGCCTGTGTAGCCAAGGAAGCTGATTTTTTCCTTTGGCGGATCCATGCAGAGTGGCTGCAGCCTTTAAAGCTAAAACCAACAGAGCAGTAATAAGATGGTGCCAGGGAATGTCTGCTTACTCCTCATGTTGCATCTAAGAGTCATTAGTGATAAACACTGAATGGGTTGCAGGTTGTTAACTTTCCCTTTTTTAAATTTTATTTTTAGTGATTTCAAGAGAGGGAGAAAGAGATAGAAATATCAATGATGAGAGAGAATCATTGATCAGCTGTCTCCTACCCACCCCCTTCTGGGGATTGAGCCCACAACCTGGGCACGTGCCCTGACTGGCAACTGAACAGTGACCTCCTGGTTCATAGTTGACGCTGAACCACTGAGCCACACTAATCAGGCAGTAGCTTTTCAACTGTAGTATTAACTCCTTGAATATACAGAGTGGGGCAAAAGTTAGTCTTGCAGTTGCTCAGGTGGAAAATAAGGAAATAATTAGTAGTAATACAAGAATAAACTCTGTAAGCCTACTTTGCCCCACCCTGTAATTTAAACTGACTGCCACACTCAGAGATGGATGGTTTTTATTTGGACGTGTTGTGACTCTTGATTAACCATGTTAGATGTGGAGTTGACTCAAACTGGTCAGATTTTGCATTCACCGAATATCCAAAGATGGTAGCCAGTATGTTCTGAGGTCTCCTAGGACACACCTCTACTCTTAGGCCTTATTCCAGGAGTTGAGAAAGGATTTGAAAGGTTGGTATAAGCCTTCCCTACCTCAATTACCATCAAGGAGCCCTGAAACAAGAGCCATAATTTGAGTGTGATGAGGACGCAATATGGTAGGGAATGATTGATAACCCCTGGGTGTGGGGAAGTCATGATTTATAGTGTTTGCCAGTTTACGTGGTGTAAATGCTCGAGCATAGCTGACTTTAAGATACCAACATGAAGCCACTGATTACACGTAGATAGGTCTCGTAAGCTGGTACGAGCAGGCTCCTGCACACCAGTATAGTTATGGTGCCTTTGGGACTGACAAAGCCAGGAATATGGGATTTGTAACCTATCTTTCCTGCTAGACTTTGAAGTCCATAAGGAACAAGAAACATGAGTTGGTTTCGACCTATATTCCTAGGAGGTAAATGTCCTTTAATGAATAATAATCCCTTTCCTCCATGAAGTATTTTATCATATCTAATAATAATAAAAGTGTAATATGCTAAGTAGACCAGACAGCCCAATCACCTTCAGGACATCCTTCTGGACATAGCCTCGGCAGCAGGGCAGAGGTAGAGTGGTTGGGGCAATCAGGCAGGCAGGCAAGTGGTTAAGAGCCAGTAGTTGCAAGGGGGTACAGGCCGGGCTGAGGGAGACAACTTCCCCCAAGTGCACGAATTTTGTGCACCGGGCCTCTACTTGAAATATAAAAGCCCTTATTGAAGAAAAGAGGACTAGAAAATAATAAGAATCTTATATATATAATAGAGAAATATGCTAATTAACCAGAAAGCTGTAACAGGTCTACCAGACAGGAGGAGGTTGCACACACAGTGTCGGGGGCAGGGCAGCAAGGGCCTCCATGCGCCTGCGCTTGGGGAGGGCCTGATCAGTAGCAGCCGCAGCTGCTTCAAGGGCCGGAGAGGGAGGCAGGGCCAGACAGCCAAGGCTGCTGCGGGGCCCAGAGAGCCCAGCGACTCCAGGGCGGGTGGTGCCCTGCGATTTCGAATCGTGCACTTGGCTCCTGGTTGGAAATAATGAGAATCGGGGAATGTCTGTTTAGAAACGTTACATTTCCCCGAGTGTAATGCGCATCTATATATATATATAAAAGCCTAAGTGACCATGACGGCAGAACGACCGGTCACTATGGTGCACACTGACCACCAGGGGGCAGATGTTTAACACAGGAGCTGCCCCTGGTGCAGCCAGAGCCGGGCTCGTGGCTGGCAAGTGCAGCTGCCATGGCGGGAGCCTCTCCTGGCTCCATGGCAGTACTAACAGGGGGCGGTAGCGGGCCAGGATGAGCGTGAGCAGTGCGGCCCCAGCCCCAATGCGGTCTCCTCCTGGCCGCTTGGCGCACTGCTACGTCTCCCGAGGGGTTCCGGACTGCGAGAGGAGTGTCTGACCGCCAGCTCCGGCCGGATCCTGGTGACCTCTGTAGAAGGCAGGCAGTCTGAACACCCCAGGGAAGCGCAGGGAACTCGGGGTGAGCCTACCACCGCGCTTGGCTCACCCCCTCGATGGTGTTCACGGTGCGCAAATCACACCTCGACTTCTCGGAACTAACTGTGGTGACTCATACTGATATTGGCTGCTGTTATTTAATTTGTCTTGGTTTCTCTCAACGGTCCCAATTTGACTGTAATCTCTTAAATTTAGAAATCAAATGTTTTCCTCCCCTCTGAAGCTTCTGAAGTCTGTAAAACTGGCGGGGAGTTCTGTGTATTTACTTCTAAAGAGGCCTTATGTAGCTTTCTCATCATATTCTCAAAGGGATATGTAACCTGAAGAGAGAAGTGAAGCATCGTGGTTTTCATTCTGTAGCTCTAAGGGTCTCCTCACAATCACTCCTTCTTCTCATCGCTCTCAGCACTGAAAGGTGTATCATTCACGGGTTCGTTTCAGAGATACTGAGCGCCCGCGGTACGTCAAATCATGGTTTGCAAAGATACAGCTAAGACTTGCTCTATTGAAGAAGATCCTACTCTCTTTGGAGATAGTAAAATATCAAAGTTTGAATGGCGTTTTTTTTCCAGTGGGATAAGGTGAAAAATGGACGTTGCATAAACAAAAACCCAGGCTGGGGCTTGATGTGTAAATGTGTCCTAGTGCACGTGTAAGGGGTGGAGATAGTGAGAATCCGAGGAGTCTTCCGAGGTGAAGCGGCATGAACCTCACAGGAAGGGAGTGTAGGAGCTCCAGTGGTGAACATGCAGATTTCCTGGAGAGTTTATTAAAAGTGTATGTCTCATGAGTTTTCACGCTAAAGTCAAACATTTTTTTTTTTACAGCATTACAGTAAAATCATGCAGAAAGCCAGTAAGTGGTTGGTTAATTATAATCTGTGCCTACTTTTTTTCCTTTCAGAATATGGCCCAGTTCTCTGTTTTATTGCCAAGACATTAAACTACAGCAGGACTTCCCAGAAGATAAGACTTTCTAATTCTAGTCATTTGGGGAATTCCTGCTCGATTTGAGATGTGGAAAAGCTTTTGTGCCCTTGCCCGCTGAGGAAGAACCTGTGCTGAGACCCTGCCAGTGTGAGAGATGCCTTCCGGAAGTCATGGACTGCTCCAAAACACAGGGAAGCGAATGACCAGTAAACGTGGGAAGTAAAATTCCTACCCTTTAGGAAAAAAGACAAGAAGATGTCATTCGCCTTTCTCCCATTAAATTCATAACAGTAATTAATGTATGGGAGGGGCAGATTCTTATGTGGCCCGTGAATATGAAGACAGAATAGGACTTGGACTGTTTGCTGGTGGCACTGTGCATGTGTAGAGTCTTTTTGCAGAGCTGTTTGGTAAATGTACCAAAAGGCTTAAAAATACTTAACACCCTTTTTGCTGGTCACTCTGCTCCTTTTATATTGAAAAATTTAGCTCTTAAAAAATTAGAAATATGGTAGTGAATGAAAACGGCAAAGAATTATGTGTAAAGAAGGCTGTTTTATATAGTGTCAGTTTTAATAGCAAAGATTCAAAATCATCTGAATATCCAAAAATTAGAGATACATTATGGTTTGGCTCTAATTAGATTATGAAGGAGCCAACTGAAGGCCATGTTTTTTATATAATATTTAATGTCCTAAAGAATTGGTTGCTGTATAATATTAAATGGGGGGGAGGAATGTGTGAGCATTTTACAGTACTGATTTTGTTTTAGAATTCTACATACATGTGCAAAAAAAGACTAGGAAAGCATAATCTTTTATTATACTTTGGGAGTATATCGGACCATTTTAACTTCCTTTATTTTCTGTTTTCACATTTTTTCCCCTACATGAATATAATCAAAGAATATAGTTGTTTTAAAAATAAAAATTATTGAGAAAGATCCAGCTGTTGAACACATTATTTCTGCTAATAAGGCAAAAATTAAGATGGTAATAATAAGTTCTTTTTGAGTTCCATCTTTATTTTGTAAAAAAAGAAAAAGATCATTAATGACCTGAACAGTCATCGAGATACTTTGGTTTGCAAACAACATCTTGAGAAGAGATTAGCAGTTAACACTGAGATATCTTAAACTTCCGAAGAGACTACATACACACATTATAGTGTGCCAGATATTTTTAAAATTAACATTTTATTATTAACTTTAAAGGAATGGGTTTTCTTTTCTATCACAGACAGATCTTTTTTCCTCGGGATCATTAATTTTTACTGTGGTCTATTATACAGGGTCCTTGAATAAGGTAGCTTTTGTCCATTCAAATGGTATGGAAAGTCAGTGTGTTTGTGTCTGCAAGATTGCCTTCAAGATTATAAGCTACTGACTGTAAACAGTGATATAAGCCAGTTACCCTCCAGCATTAATATTGAGCTGTCTGGGTTACATGTGATCATGTCTCGGATTCTCTAATGCAGTGGTTTCAACTCTCCTTGCACATGAGAGACCCACAAAGGACCTCCTGGATCTGAGCCCAGGATTCTCTGGCTCCAGCCAGTAATTGTTCTCACGCCCCTGTAAAATATACCACCCCCTGAGAATGTTCGTTCTTAGATGTGTGAAGATGTGAAGGTGAAGAGAACTTTGACCATTTATTCTTGGTATGCTGCTCGCTTTTTCTTTTTTTTTTTTTTTTTTAAACAAAATTAACATTGTGATCAGTTTTGAGCATTTGGGAGTTTCCTTAGTGCAGTGGTTGGCAATCTGAGGCTCGTGAGCCACATGCGGCTTTTTGGCCCCTTGAGTTTTTAGCAAAGGCCAGCTTAGGAGCACCCTAATTAAGTTATTAACAATGTACCTACCTATATAGGTTAAGTTTAAAAAATTTGTCTCATATGAAATTTCAATCATTGTACTGTTGATATTTGGCTCTGTTGACTAATGAGTTTGCCAACCACTGCCCTAGTAGATTATGGGCATAATAGGAAAGTTCTAGCTTAGTGACTTACCGTATTTTTCGGACCATAAGACGCTCCGGACCATAAGACGCACCAGTTTTTAGAGAAGGGAAATGAAGAAAAAAAGATTCTGAAACAAATAGTGTCCTAAAATATTTTATGTGCATTAAAACCCAACATCACAGTCATAAACACATGTAATCAACCCTGTAAAGTAAACAGCAGCATTTAGAACCATTTTAGAGCCGGGCAAGCACACAGAGACCACACAGAGCCGGGCAAGTAAAAAAACTTTTTTTTTAAAGTATATGTGTAGGCTATATTTGGACCATAAGACGCAGGGACTTTCCCCCCCCCCCCCCCCCCCCCACTTCTGGGGGGAAAAAAGTGTGTCTTATGGTCCGAAAAATACGGTAAGTCCTTGGAAGAATGACCAGTTACTGATTAGTATATTTATATTTACTTACAAATCTGTATTGATATTACGATCTACTTATTATTCTTTTCCTGATTTTGAGGGTGGACAATCAGAATAGTGTGTGCATGGTGTTAACCAAGAGTGGAGAAGGGTGGGTTACATTTGAGACCTGAGAATGTTTTGCAAATTAGCCTCAGTATTTCCTGGAGTTGTTTATACTGGGCAACTGAAAAATACCTATGATTTCATAGGTATTTGTCGGAGAGCACATTTTTATAAAGCAAAAAAAAACAAAAGCATTTGATGATTTCAGTTAGGGAAGATTAAAAGGAAATTGTTGGTGTTTTCAGAACTATGCTTTCAGTTTTATAGATGATTCAGGCTTAAGAAGTCCACACATTGGAATGTGATGACGCATTCATAAACTGCCTCTTTTGACCTCACTCTAATTTACAAATACCCCCTCCCCCCAATAAAAGTCAAGATCACAAGGCTAACATAGTAATAGGAAAGCCGTTTCCAAATCTATACAAATCACCCAGCTTTAGGAATTATCTCAGCCAGCGTGTCTTCTAAACTCCCACCCCCTAGCCTCCTCCCATGTTATTTTGAAGTATGTCTCATATCACATAATTCAGTCCATGCATATTTCAGTGTGGCTTCTAAACAATATTTTTAAGATAATAACAAAACCATTATCCAAAAAAAAAAAAAGAATAAAAATTCCTTTATGTCACCAAATATGTAGTGGATATTCAGAAGTTAAGGTGTTTCTTAAATGGCGTTTTTTACACATCATTTATTTGAAACAGGATTTACTTACAGGTCATACATTGCAAGTGGTTGATGTGTATTTTCTTTTCATCTCTGTTCCCTCACCCTCTTACTAACTTTCCCTTTCTCCTCCCCTCCTTACCTTTTACCTTTCACATTTTCTCTGTCTCCTAACAGTTTATTTGGTGAAATAAATCTAGTTTGTCCTTGAGAGTTAAATATAATCCAGGTTCTTGTAACTGCATCCCATAATGTAATTTAACAGTCCTCTGTCCTCTGTATTTCTTCTACCTTGATAAATTGAATCTAGACCTTTTTCAAGACTACTTTAGAGGAGGTGGTGTGTTCTTCCATAGGAGGGACATAATGTCTCATCTCTTGGATATTAGCAGCCATCAGCTTCGGATGCCTTTATCCATTAATTCAATGAGATACAAAAAAATTTTCCAGTTCAAAGGGACCTTCATGTAACCCCTGAAAAGTAAGGTGACAGCCTCCCTGTTTGAATTAAGATTAAAAAAGATATACACAGAAAGAGCATTTCATACAATTTAAGTCATTAATAGCAAACAATCAAAATCCTGTAGAATTTAAGAATGGATCAGATATATACTATGAAACACATATTTGAGAAATGATTCAGAACAAAGCCAGAGGAAAAAGAAGTAATCAATGAGAGTACCTTAAATTTTTTTTGTTAATCCTCACGCAAGGATATTTTTTCCATTGATTATTTGAGAAAGGGCAGAGAAAGAGAGAGAAACATGAATGTGAGAGAGATACATTGATTGGTTGTCTCCTGAATGCACCCCGACGAGGGTCCAGGATTGAACCTGCAACCCTCAGGTGCTGGGGCTGATGCTCTAACCACTGAGCTACTGGCCAGGACTAGGTGGATTTTTGAAAGAACTAAATGGGTCCTAGCCAGTGTGGCTCAGCTGGGTGAGCACTGAAAGGTTGCCGACTTGATTCCTGGTAGGGGATGTGCAGGAGGTAGTTAATGGTTGTTCCATTCTCACATGGGTGTTTTCTCTTCCTCTCCCTTCTCAAGAAACAAACAAAAGACAGATTTTTTTTAATGTTAAAATAAATACTACTAATGAAAATTTGAATTTAAAATATAATCAATAAAATTAGAAATCTAGAATTATTCAGGACATTACAGATGGATTAAGAACTCAAGAAAAAAAAAACACCCAAGATGTATTGAGAAATAGAAGTGAAAATATGATAGCTGGAAATGTAAGATAAATATAGCACGAGTTCTAACAAATCTTATTAAAGGGAATATGTGTCCCAGGAAGAAGAAGTAAGACTGGGGATGTGACCGACTTTGGCATGACAGCATGAGGAACGCGACTCACCAGCAAAACTCCTGAATATTATTTTATTTTAAAACAGTCACTTAAAATCTCAATATGGTTGAAGGATGTATGGCAACTAAAGAAACACATATTCAAGAAAATTTATTAGCATGTTACAAGAACAGGGAGAGCCCATGGCATGTGAACTGAAATCACTTCTCCCAACTCAGCAAGAGGGGAACCAGACGGGTGCAGCCAAGGACACGAGGCCCCGCCTCCTCAGCTCCCAGTGGGAGGGCTGTCAACCAGGGATGTCGGTGCTTCTCATCCTACTCCCACCTGTTGTGGTCAAGTGTAGGTGAGAGGCGGGGCTTCTCCTGCCCGCCCCCGAGGAGGTTCTACACTGAGTGATGCTGCTAGCAATATGGGGGCTCCAGTCATCTCTCTGCTGGCTGGTTAGGCAGTGATTCCAGCAAAAAAAGCTGAAGAGCTGAAACTAGTTTGGCTCAGTGGAGCTGAAGGGTCCCAGGTTGGATTCTGGTCCCTCCTTGGTTGTGGGCACATCCCCATTGGGAGATGTGCAGGAGGCAGCTGGTTGATGTTTCTCTCTCATCGATGTTTCTAACTCTCTCCCTCTCCCTTCCTCTTTGTAAAAAATCAATAAAATATACTTTAAAACAAACAAACAGCGTAGTTCTCGGTTCCCATGTAAGGGGACTTTCACCATGTCCGGAGCCCTTAATGTCCTGCACAGGAAGGAGGAGGATGTCTTCAAATTCCTGGCAGCAGGAACCCTCTCGATGGCACCAACCTTGACTTCCAAACGGAACAATTCAACCACAAAAGGGAAAGTAATGCCATCTACCTCACAAATGTGAAGAGAACCCGGGAGAGGCTTCTGGCAGCTGGTGCTGTCGTGGCCACTGAAAACCCAGCTGATGTCAGTCACACGGGCTGGGAATACTGGCCACGAGCTGTGCGGGAGTTTGCTGCTGCCACCGGAGCCACTGCTAATGGCGGCCGCTTCACTCCTGGGACCTTCACCAGCCAGATCCAGGCAGCCCTTCAGGAGCCGAGGCTTCTGGGGTTACTGATTCCAGGGCTCACCACAAGGGGCATGTATGTTAACCTGCTGACCACTGCTCTGTGTAACACAGACTCTGCTCTGCACTGTGCGGACATAGCCATCCCTTGCCATAACAAGGGGGCTCCCTCGGTGGGTTGATGTGGTGGATTCTGACCCAGGAAGCTCTGCATAGTGTGGCACCTTCTCC